CTGTAATAGTGTTAACAACAAAAATAAAATTAAAAAACTAATTTATGAAAAAAACAACAAAATATTAAAAGAAACCTTCAAATCTAAATATTTGCAGGTAAAAATGATAAAATCCAGTGCCATTATAATTTACACACTTTCCTTTATCTTTTGGTATCACAAATGGGGAAGTTTATGAAACGATAAGCACCGAGGCCTGACCTGGAAATAAATTAAGGCAAATTTTAAGGGAAAAAGGGGGAAGACACAACAGGATTCCATACTACTTAAGAGTAATTTTTTGTTTATTTATGTAGTTATGCACTTACTTATTTTTCATAGTCTTGAACATTAGGTCTCCAGAGGAAAAAACATTCATTCAGTAAATGTTTACTGATTGCCAATGATCTCCTAGGCATTCGTGGAGAAATGAGAGCATCTAAAGATGACAGTTCCAGTCTCTGCTCTCAAGACCTAGACAGCCGAGTTGGAAACACATACATGCACACAAATACGTTTTACTGCTAATATAACAACAGCTATAGAAACTTGTTAGAACAATCTCTGTAAACAAAAGCTTTTTTTCTGTATTTCTAAACTCATTTTTAGTACAGCTCATTACATTACTTGGTTCAGATATGCAACTGAACAGCCTGTGGTTCATCGACACCAAGGCAGCATCTGAGTGCCAAAGTACTTAAGGAAAAAGACGCCACAATACTAATCCAAGGTCAGCACAACCTGGCCAGTTTTGAGAAAGGTCGTCTCCCCTGTCACTTCCAATATTCTCACATAGGGAGAAATACAACCTGTTTTCCTAACAATCCGCGATTTGCATTTATCTGAGCCCCAAAGTACTTTTTCTTCAACCTAATCCCATTTAGTTTTAACCACCAGCCCATCTTCTTGAAAAAAAAATTCTCGTGTCCTTAATGATCGTGTATTATAACATGAGGGTTATAACACCACTACTTTTTTTACCAATATATTGATTCTACTTTAGGTAAGAATCTTTGACATTCACAAAATAATATTGATTTGGACTTTACAAATGAAGAATCTTTTTCAAAAGGAGGAGGGGCTGGGCTCACTTTTCTTCTTTGCGTTTTTTTTTTTTTTTTCCTTGTGACTTCACTGTTAGGCAGGATTGGAAAATTTAAAGTATGCTCGAATATAATATTTGGTATTAAAAGCAGTAACAGCAAAATTATCCAGTCTGTACCCTGGATCGGTATACATTCTTCCCAGCTTGCCATACATTCTACAAATTTTACACTTACAGTCCCTGCTTCGAATGATGGCACTGAAACTCTGTGCAAGTTCCTTAAACAACAAACATTCAGACATACTCACAATTCTTGATAGTACTAAGGCAAGAAGTGAAAAAATACACTGTCATTTATCTATTTAACAACACGTCATAAAAACTTAAATAAGGATTGAAGAAGAAAAAGACTGATTAGGTTTTCAGCTTAATTCTTTACATTCAATCAGCAGAACCCTCGCATTCCTAAAGTATTCTGACCGATTGAGATTTTGGTACAAAAACAAGATTCTGTGACTTTTTTTTTTTTTCTTCCCAAAGAGAATAAACTTTTTAAAAAAGCACATTTAGTACCAACAACTTACAAACTATAAACACTCAGACTACAATTTGCAAATGGAATGTCTCCAAAAGTTGATAATCTAGGACTTGGAATGTAGTTTCCAATTGGAACAATGCTATAAAACTATGGCTAGCTTTCCAGAACAGATGTACAAACCCGGTTAAAAATGTTCTTAATATACCATGTATCTGAAATGAAAAAAAAAAACTAAAAACAGTATTAATGAAGTAGTGATAACAAAAAAGAAAATATACAGAGTTGTAAAACCATGACTACATGGCGTTAGAGAGAATATATAAATGACTCAAAGAGAGGACACAGGTAAGAATGAGCCAAAAATCTTGCTATGAGAATCAAAAGAGATGGTGTTAAAGAGTCGTAGAAAAGTATTAAAGCCAAGTTTTGATTGCCTGAAGGACAACTCTCTCTCCCTCTCCCCCGCCCCTCTCTGCTTAATACACCAAGTGGGGGAAAGTTGGGCAGTTCCACCTGGATGACTAAAGCCACACAGAGCTAAGAGCACAAACACACGGTGCAGGAGGAAACCGAGAGGGGGCTACAGAAAGCATCTGGGCACTTGGAGAAGGCAGTGGGCACCCTTAGCTCCAGAGGCCCGCGTAGTTGCCGTGGAGGCCCGAAGGGAGGGGCCCCCCAGCCACGAAGAGCTTCATCTCGGGCCAGTTGTAGCAGTGGGTGTAGAGCGCGTTGGGGAGCTCGTCCCAGCCCCCGAAGTAGTTGACCCACAGGTCGTCGTGGCTGAGCCAGCCCCTGCCGCAGGTGAGCCGCAGCTTCCTCCCGGTGGGCCCCGGGGAGCAGTCGGGGCCGGCCGAGGCCCTCTCCTCCAGGAACTTCTGCGCGCGGACGTCATAGAAGAGCAGGGAGCCGTGGCCCGTGCCCACGGTGACCATGTGCTGGTAGAAGCTGAGCGAGCGCACGCCGGTGCCGCCCTCTCGGGAGCACATGGGCCGAAGGTTCTGGTGACCTTGGCGCAGATCCAGAAAGGAGACGTGGGACTGCGAGCCCACGGCGTAGAGGGACAGCTCCTCGCAGTAGGTCAGGCACACGTTCTCTCTGCAGTAGGGCAGCTTGATGGACAGCAGCCGGGACAGCGCGCCCCGGGCTTTCCACAGGTGGAAGTAGCCGTCTAGGGACACCGCGCCCAGCTCCTGGTTCTTGTGGTTAAAGGCCAGGGCGCGCACCTTTCGGTTCCTGGGGTTGGTGCTGGACCTGGGGATGGTCTCCAAGTTCCTGGGACGGATGTGGGCGTACACGGGGAGCCCCGCGTCGTCGTGCCAG